TGAAGCTCAGGGCATTTAGCTGAAGCTCAGGGCATTTAGCTGAAGCTCAGGGCATTTAGCTGAAGCTCAGGGCATTTAGCTGAAGCTCAGGGCATTTAGCTGAAGCTCAAGGCATTTAGCTGAAGCTCAGAGCATTTAGCATGCAGGCTGGAAAGTCAGACCACGGTGTTCCATGTTTTCTGTGTCCTCTGTGTGGCTGAACAGCTGGATTTATGATTATAACTGGATTTTGTTAGAGGTGTCAGAATAAAGAGCAAGCCACACTTTTCACATTTTCACTTAATTCTACTTAACATTATCATGTGTTGGTGACATAAACTATTTAAATAGACATTACTATGAAGGCCTGCAGCCATTCTAGGTATGAAAACTTTAAAGGTATTTTGCATTCTGATCATTTCTCAGTCCCGCTCTCAGACGCCTGCATCTCATTTTTATTACTAAATGTATTTCAATAAAGGATTTAATCTTTAATTTTAAAAAGATTGCAGTAAACATCTATAGTTAGACATGAAATGTGCAGAAAAACGGATACAAAAAAGTAAACATTGAGTCTGAAAAATGCTATATAGAGCAATGTTTTAAACATACAAGCGGCTCATCTTAGAAGATTTAATCCAGTGAAATTGCAATAATACAAATTAAATACATTATTGTATATAACACAGGCCAGATTCGAACCCGGGTCGCCCGCGTCGGGGACTAAGCCCTCCAAACATGGGTCATGCAAACTAACCAGAGCTAAAGATAAAAAAGGTAAACAAAGAATGAAGCTTAAACTGCTCAGGGAGCCGATGGAGCAAAGTCAGCTTTGGTGGAACTGACACTTACCTGAGAGAAAGTCAGCAACTGACACCATCTGCTAGCAAGAGAGGCTTGGCTAATGTATGCATTGCATCGCAGTAGTTCGGCCTTGGTTTTCTCTGACTGATGGTACTGATTTCTATTTTAACCAAGAGCAGCTGCTGAAGCAGAACCTACAGGAATAAAAGCCACACTTTGAAGTTTGACGTTTTTAAATCAGACAGGTGGTTTGAGAGGCGTGAAGGAAGCCATCTATGTTAAGAAAGAAAAACCAACCTTAAACAGGGGGGGTCCCCGAATCAAATGATCTTAAAAGTATATTTTAAGATCATTTGAGGTGAGAATATTATATTTTAAGCTTCACTATAAGGCCCATTTACTGATTTAATTTAACGTTAGCCCGTCTGCAGCAGCCCTCTCTCTGCATGAGCGTCCGCTGGATCTGATGGGGATATTTTAGTGTTATTTGGCAAAATGTTCATTTGATTCGTGTTTATCTGACTGTGTTAAATATTATTTCCCCACTAAATGAAAAAAATAAGAATTTATTATTATCTAGAGACTACCAATAACAGGAGGTGAAATGCAGCTCCAGACGAGCCGAGTGTGTGGTGATGTCATCACTGCGCTTCTCTTCCAATTGACTCAGATTTATTCTGCGTGCTCCTGTTCTCCCCAAGTCCAGACTTTTCTGTGTTCTTTATAAGAACACACTTGGCGAGAACACGAGTCCGTACTCGCGTTCTAGTGGATTGAGAAACGGCCAAAGACGGGTAAGGGGCATTGCAGGCTAATAAAGAAACAAAACGACCTCCATTCCAAAGGGGGGGACCCATTTATCAGGTTTAATCTGCATGTTTTTTAAGCCAAAACCTGGAACTCAACCCTATTTCTGAC